CATTTTGGCCAATGAGTAAGGGAGCTCTGATGGCTTAGTCACTAGACTGCCTAACTTCGGCAGTTTGAATCCATCTTTGGCTCTGCTGGAGAGAGAGAGACAATCTTTTCCCATCTCGGAAACCATCTCGGAGGATCAGATGTGAGTTAATTCTACCTCAGTGGTAGTGAGTGAATTAGGAACAGCCCAAGCAATTGTGATTCTGTAACAGCAGACATAGCAAGGACCAAATTTACCACCCAAAAAATCTGTTTTCTTAGACATCCTTATCTTACTCATTCTCATTTTATGATTATTCTTTTGAAAAGACAGCAGCTTGGGACAGATTCCCTCCCCCTTTCTTTATTGTTGCTATCTCTGGCCAGCTGAATTTCTATTTATGAATCCTGTACCTAGCCATCAACTTCATATTGGAAGGAACCAGGTAGAATTTGAACAATTAGAATATTTTCTCACTTGCCATAAAAGGAGTGACTAGTGTCCTAGTGGTTGAAAGCATTATTTAGGTTTTATTCTGACTGAGCAGTGTACTAGTTTTCTGATTTAGAAAATAAGGGTTCTAGTTATTCTAGAACAAATATCTAGTCACTTATATGCGACTTCTTTTCCCAGTGACCCCTCAGTCAGATTGTGTAGATAGGAAGTTGGCAGGTTTATTTTATTTTTTTTTTTTGTGGTTGATAACACATATTTAACTCTTCTTTGATCTCCTCCAGATGGAGCCTGTTTGCTCAGGAATTTTTTTATTTTTTTTTATTTTATTATTTGTGTTTGTGCGTGTATGGTCAAATCAGATCTGATTGGTACAGGAGGAGATTGTTCCTCCTTCCTCGGCAGAACATCTTTTGGATTCGAACCATGCACCTGCACCTCTGGGATTGCATTGCAGCTTCTTGCCAGGAATTTTTTTTTAACACATTAGAAGATGAAATGATAAATATTCTGGGTGAGCTTGTAGAACGAGGTAAAGAATGAGGGTATGAATTGTATCCTGTAGTTCTTTTACAGGGTCAGCTGTATATGGGCCATTCCTCATAGGATGGTAGAAGCATTGGAAGATATGGCCAGAATGTTGTAGAGTGTGTGGGGTTAAGAATGCCATTTTATGTAAGTTGTTTGTGTGCTAGGAGCTGTAATATTTTTTTTTTTCATGACATGCAACTTTCAGATAAGCACTGTTATATGTATTTTACAGGGAAGAAACAAAAACACCTTGTCTGAGGTTATAAAGTTAGTAAGTCATGTTTTTCAGGCATCCTATACCATATCTCATGCTTTCAGTCAGTAATAGTATATGCTGAAGTAACATAGGTCATTGATGAGGTTTTTCTCCAGTCCTGAAGCCACATTCTTCTTCATACAGTACAGTTTGAATTATTTAGCATACAGATTGAATAAGTGTGGAAAAAGGATACAACTCTCATGCATACCTTTCCTGAATTGAAACCATGTAGCATTCCTTTGTTCTGTTTGTCCTGCTGTTTTGCTTGAGTATAGTTGTGGGATTTCCATTCTTAGCATTGTTCTCCATAGTGTTACAATACACCCAGTCTGATGCTTTTGCATAGACACATAAACATTTAAAATCATCTCAGGAACAGGTTAGAGGCCTTGAACACCAGTGAGCGAAGACCAAATGAGCTGTAGGAGGATATCAAGAATATCATTCATGAAGAATGCAAAAGGTCATTACAAAGGCAGAAGAGAATGAAAAAGACCAAGAAGGATGTCAGATGAGACTCTTAAATATTTCAGTGATCCCAGAAGTATTAAAAGAAGATGGAAGGAGTATACAGAATCAACGGTACCAGAAGGAATTGGTTAACACAGAAGAATGAACAAGAGCATATGGTAATGTAGGAAGAAGTTCAGGCTGTTCTGAAAGAATTGGCAAAAAACAAGGATCCAGGAATTGATGGCATACCATTGACTTATTTCAACAAACAGGTGCTGCCCTGGATGTGCTCACCAAGTTGTGTCAAATCTGGAGGACAACTACCTGGATAACTGACTGGAAGATATCTCTATTTGTTCCCATTCCAAAGAAAGGCTTCCTGACAGAGTGCGGAAATTATTGAACAATACCAGTAATATCACATGCAAACTAGATTCTGCTGAAAATTATCCAAAAATGACTGGAGCAGCACGTCAGCAGAGAATTGCCAGAAGTGTAGGCTGGGTTTAGAAGAGGCCGTAGTACTAGGGATATTATAGCTAATTTAGATTGATCTTGGCTGAAAACAGAGTACAAGAGGAATGTCTGTGTTTCATTGACTATGCAAAGACATTTGTGTGGATCACAACAGACTGGCTAACTCTTAGAAGAATGGGAATCCCAGAACACTTGATTGTGCGTATGAAAACCTATACTTGAACCAGGAGGCATTCATCGGAACAGAGCAAGGAGACACTGCATGGTTCAAAATTGGGAAGAGTGTACGTCAGGGTTATATTCTGTCTCTATACCTTTTCAGTCTATATGCAGAACAGATCATCTGGGAGGATGGGCTGTATGAGGAGGAAGGTGGCATCAGGATTGGAGGAAGATTTATCAGCAACCTGCGTTATGCAGATGACACAACCCTGCTTGCTGAAACTGCGGAGGACCTGAAGCACTTCCTGCAGAAGATCAAGGACTGCAGCCTTTAATATGGATTGAAGCTCAACATCAAGAAAGCAAAGATTCTAACCACTGGGCCAGTTGGCAGTATCAGTATGGATGGTGAAGAGATTGAGATGGTTAACAGTTTTAGTTTTCTTGGCTCCACAATCAACACGTTTGGAACCAGCAATCAAGAGCCAAATTGCACTGGGAAAGTTTGCTGTCAGGGACCTCTTCAGAGTACTGAAGAGCAGTGATGTCAGTGTGGAGACTAAGGTGCCCGATCCAGGCCATGGTCTTCACAGTTGCTTGCTATGCATCAGAGCCGGATGGTGACTAGGGATAAGAGATAATTTGATACCTTTGAGATATGGTGCTGGAGAACAGTGTTGAATATACCACAAACTGCTAGGAGAACAAACAGGTTCGGCCTGGAGAAGGTGAAAGCACTCTGCTCCTTGGAGGCAAGGATTCTGAAGCTTTGTCCAACATTCTTTGGACATGTTACAAGGTCATTGGAGAGGGGTATTATGCTAGGAAGAGTGGAGGGACGGCACAGGAGAGGAAGATGCTCGAGATGATTCACTTGCTGGGGCACTGCAGGTCGGTGAGTCAGAGACAATAAGGTTGGCACAGGATAGAGCAGGTTTTAGGGTGCTTGTACATAGGGTCACTATGAGTTGCAAGCAGCTCGATGGCACACGGCAACAACAACATGATTAATATCACATATAAGTAAAATCTTGCTGGAGATTATTTAAAAACAACTGGAATAGTATGTCAACAAGGAGACTGCTAGAAATTCTGGCAGGTTTCAGAAGAGGCTGTGGAGCTAGGGATTTCATTGCTGCTGTTAGATTGACCTTGGTAGAAAGCAGAGAATACTAGAAAAAGGTGAAGGGTATCTTTTAATGCATTGCAGATATACCAACATAGTTTTTAAATGTAATAATCTTAAATATTACTATGTTTTCCTTTGTCATTAAAAAAAAATACAAAATCTTGTCATGAAGCACCAATTTGATTTATGACCTCCTCCTAGAGATTAAGGAGTTGTGCATAGTCCATAGGAAGTTGCACTGCTAACTCAAAAGTGGTACCTCTTTGGTGCTTTGAATACTACAACTACCCCAAAGGAGAAAGATTAGCAGTCTCTTCCTGTGCAATTTATAGCCTTGGAAAACCCTCCTGTGGGTCAGCTGTGAGTTTCCTACTGGAGGTTAATCTGTGTTGGTAGATTAAGTATAGCTGCTATGTGAAAAAAAATGAGGTACTTTCTTTGTGAAAAGATTTATGGGTCTGGGAACCTTAAAGGACAGATCTCCTGTGTCCTTTGGGGTTGCTATTATTCAGAATTGATTGGCTGCAGTGGGAATTTATTTTCAAAATGTCACTATTTGTAATCCTAGGTCAATCATAATCATACAGTGTATGTATAAGTCTAACCATGGTCTGCCAAAAGAACAAACAGATGTATCTTGGAGAGGTTGCAACCAAAGTGTTTCAGTGCTCCTTAGAGGCAAGGACGGCAAAGTGTCATTTGTGTACTTTGAGCATTTTGGCTGGGAAAGGCTGTTCCTTGGAGAAAGACCTCATGAATAGAAAACGGGGAGGGCAGCAAAGGAGAGGAAAACCCTTAACTGGGTGGATTGACATAGTGACTGCAGAAATCGGTTTGAGTGTGTCAGAGATTGTGATGTTGGCACATGGAAGGGCAAGGTTCCTAGAGTCGCTATGAGCCATACTCGACTGACTCATCAGAATCTAACAACAAAACAATAATATTGTAAGTGATGAGTGATGTTTTGTAATAACTTTTGCAAAGGGATATCTAGTGCCTGTGTTTAAGCATCTCTGGTAGTTTACATTTCTTTTAGTGCATTATACCTGGAAAATAGAGATCAAGATGTATTATATATTTATTTCTGTTGTAAATTGAAAATGCTTTAGAGGTAAGTGCAACATAGGTGGCCTATTTCTATGTGTAAACGTCTTGGTTCTAATGGTCATTTCACAAAATTTACCAATTGACTATATAGTTGAGACTTTGTTGAGATGAGAGATACATATGGTAATATTTTCTTTGAGAAATTGGAAATAAAGTTACATTAATTTTTTTTATTGTGTTAAAATGCAGATGACAAGAAATTGTCATCAAATGATATACAAGATAGAAACTACACTATTCAATTTGTGTAACGTTTTAAAGCTTTGGGTTATAGGTTAATAAAAATCATGATGAAGTTTGACATGCTTGTTAAATAAAACATTCATGACTTATAAACATTAAATGCATATTTTAACATTAAGATGCAATAAAAAGCAATGTTACATCAATCTAATACTATATTAAATTATTTACTATAATCTCCCCCTCATATTTGTTATTTTCTTTTAGGTTGGATGGAATACTGCTCGAGATTATTACACATTTTTATGGTCCCCTATGCCTGAACATTATGTAGAAGGATCAACAGTCAATTGTGTTCTAGCATTTCAAGGTAAGAAATGAAAACCTGAGAAATAGAAGTTAGATGTTTTATTGTTATTGAAAATGGCTTACAGTGAAGATCTTGAGAAACCGTATACAACATAGATGAATTTAGAAAATATTATGCTGAAAGAATTAACTTAGTCACAGAGGTGCAAGTGCAGTATTAGACCACTGATCCCTTATGAAATCAAGAGAAATATGGGGCAGTATGGGTTAGGGGAGGGGAGGGAGAACAGGAAGAGAATGCACAGATAAGGAACAGGGCATTGGAATAGGTAGAGGGAAGGTAATTCTGCACTTGATCTTAGCCAAAAGGCCGAGAAGCGATGGAAGGTAATGCTGAAAAGAAGGGGCAGTAAGACATTATAAAAGTATAACTGACAAGTTTATAATAGGACATATATATGAGGGAATGAAGAGAGAGGCAAGAGGAGGGAATCTGTATAAATGAGTGAAAAACCATTTTTAAAAAAGTGTATCCCAGTACAATTATTTGCTTAGCCATGTTCAGGACACTAAGTGCAGAAGTTACAAGAGTAAGTAACTATGTAAATAGACCATGTGCTCTATTATTTATATAGACTTTTAACAGTTGTTTTGCTTATTAGTTTTAACTTTAATTGGAGTGATTGAATTTGTCAGATTTTCTTTAACATTGCTGTGAAAATATAGCAAACCTATGCTCTTACAGTAATGTGTACATGTACAGTTCAGTGACGTTGATTATATTCTTCAAGCTCTGTTAATTTGACTAGAGCTCTTTTTAGATAGTTCACTTTCACTAATTAGGTTCTATTTTTAAATTGAGGTTAAACAGTTTAGAAATAATACCATAGAAAAGTGATATACCTCTTTCAGTCCTTTGGATTGGATGTATCATTGTGTCTTAATGTTGGCACATACTAAGCATGATCATTTTGTCAAAATGGTATCGGTTATACATTTAGTATTTTTTTCTTTGTTATTAATACATTTTATGTATGTATTACTTGAAGATGGTGTGGATTTCTTGTTTTTCCTCAAACTTTGGCCCACCAGTTTTAAAATCAGTCAGTGGATCTTTTTAATATCAGTTACTGTGATATTTGCATAAAGATTATTTTCTGTTTCCATTTTTTCTACATTTATTAGTTGGAAGTATCCTGTTATGAACTTGTTCCTTCTTCAGGGACTTAAGCATATTTATTTAATTTTATAGAATAAAATCTAGTTTTAATAATTCTGTTCCAGCTTTCACCATTGAGAGCTCCTTTAGTTGGCCTCCTATTTACTTTACTTCCTTGTAACCAAGTTCTTTTTAAAGAAAATCAGTCTTACTTTCAAGCTTCACAAGATGTTCCAGGTTTATATATTTCTTGTCTTTCTTGTGTCTAAGATCACTTGATTTTTAAAGAAGTGAAATCAGATGAAATTGTTGTTAGGGCCTTAGAGTTGAGTGTAACTCATAGCGACCCCGTGAACAATAGAGCTGAACCCAGCCCTATTCTGTGACATCCTTATCGTTTCTAACATACTTAAGCCCATTGCACCAGTCACTGTGTAAGTCCATCTGGTTGGGATTTTCCTCCTCTTTGCTGACCCTCTACCTTTTCAAGCATGATGCATCTGTCCAAGAAAATAGTGTCTCCTAACAACATGCCCAGAGTATGTGTGATGAAGCTGTGTACATCTTTGCCCTCAAGGAGCACTCTAGCTACATTTTCTTCAAAACATTTATCTGTTCGTGCTTTTGTCAGTCCACAGGATATTCAGTACTTTTCTCCAGCATCACAATTCAAAGGCATCGATTCTTCTGTTATCCTTACTCTCTTACTCAGTTCTGAAATGAACAACATGTGATTGAAAAGACCATGGTTTGAGTCAGGTGCACTTTAGTCTTCAAACTGACATAATTGCTTCTCAGTAATTTGGAGAGATCCTAGACTGCCAACTTTCCCAGTGTAATCCGTCTCTTGATCTCCTGACTGATTATACCAAAGGTGTTGATTGTAGATCCAAGTAAGATGAAGTTGTTGACAGTTTCATTCTTCTATCTGCCATAATGTTGCTTATTGGTCCAGTGGTGAGAATTTTTGTTTTCTTGATGTTGATCTTCTTAATGAAGATTTGATGTTCTACAGCAGGTACTGCAAGGTGTCCTCACTTTGAGCAAGCAGGGTAGTATCTGCATAATGCAGGTTGTTGATGAATCTTCCTTTGATTCTGATGCCACATTCTTCTTTATAGGGTCCAGCTTCTTCAGTGATTTGTTCAACCATGTTACTCTTCTCTTTATCATTCCAATTTTATTGTATGGGCTGCTGAAATCAGCACAGCATACAGATTGCATAGGTATGGACAGAGGCTACAATTCTGACACACACCTTTCTTGATTTTAAACCAAGTACTGTTCCCTTGCTCTGTTTGAACAACAACCTCTATTTAAAAAAAAATTTTAA